TATAGGACCTCGTGAACATGGATGGTAGTGGTGACGGCTGCATATGTTCACATGAATCGAGTCAATACATAGTGTTCTCCTTTACGTCATCTCAACCACTTAGTTGTCCGAGTTGTATATTTTATGTATATATATCTTCCGGATCTGATCATCCTGCACAATATATCTATCCAACTACCCAGAAAAAGAAAACGATAAATGAAACTTTTTCTGCATTCCTGGAGACAACATTATCCGCCATCAATTGGTCCGAAATGAGGCTAGCGCGAAGTGTTCAGTAGTTTATTTTGTGCAGTTCCGCACAAATGCGTTCTAATCGATGACGAAACCTTCGAACCATATCGATCGCTGGATTCTACAATTGGATAATTTAAATCGAGTGTGTGTGTGTGAGAGAGAGAGAGAGACAGTGGAGTCAATAATCATGGCGAAACGGTTTGATGAGCTCACTTGAGCTATAGCTTAGAATCAATAATCAGAATGAAAACACAAATTGCGAAAGAAAGGTGAAGAGGCGTGGGTAGGAGTGAGGGGAAGGTGAATAGGAACCATCAGTATAATAAAAATACGAACTTTGAAACTGTGATGGCATCCAATGCGACTGGGTTTGCTCCTTTTGTTCGTTTGTTCTTCCGATGTTTTGCGCACATTGGTACATTCATATCGTATAATGTGAGCGTGTGAAAAATGGTACTCGACCATTGATTGGATTCACAGATGCACACTGTTCCTTGTTCCCTTCTGTATGTGTCGTCTCAAATAATTCATCTCATCGTAGGCATGTTGGACTTGATCTGAGGCACCGATTCAGCACTTGAGTTTGATCGATCGCATCATTATTCTCTGTGTGTATACGCATGCGTGTTCCCGTGAGATCTTTGATCTTTCCGTGTGGGCTCGGTGACGCTGTTGCTGATTCGTGTGTGTGTGTGTGTGTATGTGTATGCACACGGCACGCATTATCGGTCTCAAAACGAGAACAAACAGTCGTGATGCTGCAAGGCGAGCGAAATAAAACGTCCCATTTGACACGACGTTGTTTCGTCTTTCCACCACCACCACCACCACCACGTATTTCTTCTCTCCGGTTACCTTTCGTATGAGAGTTGATCTGTTTGTCGAACTGTGCACAATTGCCAAGGCCGCTCATCGATGTTAGGCTGTCGCATAGGGAACGGTCCGAGTTTGTTCTTGTATTGTATTGTGTTGAACTGTGTTCTATTGTACTGTACTGTATTGTATTTTGTTGAGTTGTATTCTGCGAATTTCGCAAATAGCTCACATTTTAGTTAGAATGATTGCACACGACAACCGTCACATTTCACCAAGGGATTATGAAACTTGACTTGTTTGCTTGTTCTCCTCTCGTTGTTTGTGAGTGCAAGTGCAAGATAGACCATGGGTGAATTTTGGTAAACGCTTACAAATGAGATGGCCTATGTCCGAATTCAGAGCGTCTGTAGAGAGCGAGTCGGAACGACAACGCTTTGGCTCAGCGTGCACCGGCTGATTACTGGCTGTGAGAATCCTGTTCGCCAGAAGAAATTGTCTGATGATCTGAAAATCTTGTTGACGAAAATTGAAGAAACACAGCAACCAGTAGTTAGACCGTGGTGTACGAGTTCAAGAACGGATTTAAGTCAACCGACATGCAAATAATGTAGTTTAAAGACAAACAAAGAACGATTGGTATCCAAAAGCACCGATACTATTAATTTTGTGCCCCGGAAGTTTGAAAACTACGTCAAGAAAAAGGTTATATGAACGATCGGGTGAACCGCACTATCGTATCCGTGATCCTTAGATGGATATATTGTGTTGTGGAGAGTGGATGAACGAAGGAGGATCGCCAGGAATCGTCAGATCAACGGAGCCTCTGTTCCACGAGGCATTTAGGCTTATCAAGCAGAACTAAAGCCATGTATGATGGTCAAGGCAACTCGAAACTAACAAGGTTGCAGCTGCAGCCTGTGGTTGACCGTAAAGACAACACTTGCACGACCTGATCCCAGAGCTATCGGTCGGTGGATTGTTCTCAACGATCACGTGAACCCATTTGGATTACCACAAGGATGAAGAGACCTGTCACTCACCAAAGTGCCTGTTTGACTGCTCAGCATTATATTCCGGACTACTGGCTTCTATCCCGCCAGTACCCAAGAAGGGAACGTCAAAGGTTCGCCCGATTGCTTATACACATCTTGGTTTGAAAGTCCTGGAAAGGGTTCCATTGCGGAGGATTTCCTCCCAGTCGGACGCATCTGATCCCACTCAGTTCGCCTCCTGTAGCTAAATGTAAAGGTCACACCGATTTGCTTCTATTCTCCTCTCAAGGAGTGCTTCAGAATGTTTTTCTCTCCCCCTTCCTGTTTTCTATTTATATTTCTTCCATGCCTGTTTGGGTTATTGCTTACTCATTAAATATTCAGATGATTTCGTATGGGACATAGATTTTCCGAATTCCTCCAAGTACTCCAAACTCACGTAGAATTGCTCACCGATCGATCTTCATACCTCAGCCTTAATATACATTCCCTCAAATGTACAGATGTCTTATTTTCTTTACTGAATGGTGACAAACAGATTGATTCGCGTAATTAAATCTGGTCAGTGTGCCGTTATCAGCAGAGATTACGTTTCCAGAAAGTGCTCCGTTAAACACCTCGGAGTCACCATTTCCCGTGATCTTTCATGGTCTCCTCATGTCGCTGAGATACTACGCAAAGTAGGGAAACTCATTTTTTTTTCTCGTACATTATCCGTTTGAAAGTGCTATCAACCCCGACCGCATCAATAAGACGAACTTTCTTCTTTCGCCCCTTCCCCTCTGAACACCGAGCTAAATTCTCCGAACTCAAACCTTGATGAATTTACTTAATCGAATCATGTATACAGGGTTTCCATATGCTTTCATTCTCTAACTCCCCACTTCTATTGCAGTAGAGTGAATAGATAGCACCTGCATATTCATCTCACATGAGGAGAATCAACGAGGTTTCATATAACCACCATTTAGTCCCCCCCCCCAGGGGTTCGCCGTGTTCCTCTCAAATAAAAACGACTTTTTTATCACTCCCGTGTTTTAGTCAACTATGTTTGGACTGATTGAATATTTCAACCTAACGTCATCCTCAATATTAGTCAGTTATTTTGCTCACCGAGCTTTAGATTCAGTCCTATCCGTAGGGAGTTCAGCGGGTGTAAGACGTTGACTATTTTGACTTTTTCTGAATGAGTTTTCACTCATCTATGAGGATATGGACCTAATGAAACTGCATATCGATCCATTTTCGGTCCCAGTACACATTACTCCAAAAGGTCTCAACCGGTGTTTCTGCTCCTCCCGGATCGAACTAGGAAACTTGTACAGACGGGGACGAGATGCACTTCTTTGTCCCACTCAAGCAGAATGACATTGCGGGACAACAACAGATGATCTAACTAACTGCTTCCTCGGTTTCTTTTGTCCCTGTCAACAACCACTAACTAGGTCATTTGAAAACCTCACCGCCTCAGCTCTCGGCTCTGGTTCCGGAGTGGGCAGTGGTAGTATTGGCGGTGGTCTTTCGGCCGCGGGTTCGAACCTATGGATGAAAGTGGGTTACTTTGGAGCACGGATGAAACAGAAACAACACAGTGGACATTTGTTTGGGAGTCGAAAGTCCAAGGTGAGTGTGTGTGTGTGTGTGTGTGTGTGTGTGTGGTATCTATACTCACACAAAATCTGCTAAACACATTTTATATTCCAATTTCACTGAGTAAAATTCAATCAATTTGCATGCTGTTTTATGTTTCACATCCAACCCCTTATAAATGACGATCGATTTTCACATGAGCGGTGTGATAACTGTGTTACCAATCGTAACCTTAACGCAAATTGTACTGCGTAGCTTAATACGTCAAGTCTCACTACAAGTTTTCCCCAGTTTAAAATGCTCTTGCTTAACTGTGGAGTCCAACAAAGAAATTGCAAGTATTTGTGCCAGATAATTGAGGAACAGTCAAGTGTCCTTTAGCACCATTCGATTCCCGCAATCTAGACATCAGCAATTAACATTCGCGGTTTCGTTGTTATCCCTTGTGACATTCAGCCAGAAGAGGTTGGTTCAAGGTCATCAATAACATCGAGAGAGTTGCTTTCATTATTTGTGGGTGTTTGTGTGCATGGGTGTATTTTGGCTTCCGACACAGGCGCGCGCTCAGTGAAAAACACCAGACACATGGGCAACAGATGGCAACATGGTGGCCGTCTGGGGCGTTGTAGCCTGTTACGATTATCGTCCGGCTAACTTGCATCTGTCTGAATAGCTATAGACCGGGCGTGCAGTGTTTGCTGTATGGCGGCATAAAATAACTGAATGGAAAACTGCGCGGCAAGTCGGTCAGTTAGCCATTTGAACCCCTGGGAAATCGGTTCCCGAATGACAGCCTGCAGCATGCTACAGAGCTATCGAATCCTAGTGTGGCACATCTGTTGCAAATATGCACGCGTAACCTCACAGGTGGTTGCTGATATGTGGTGTTGGGTACACACATGCGGCCGATTCGGTGCCTCCCCCACCTCCCGTTTCCACTTTTTCCCTTTTAACAAGAGTAGATTAGTGAAAGATGTAAAGTGATCGAAATGATAAAGGTTCTTCTCGGTTTCAAATCGCAGGCTAACCCCCCCCTCCGACCTCCGCGTTGATTGATCCTCATTACGTTTCTTTTGTACATGCCAACTGGGATAGTTTATAGATTGACCCGCCCACTTTGTTGATCCACGCACACATACACACACACACGTAATACATGGGGCGACATAATTCGACTCATACATGCACACACTCTATGTATATGAATTTTCGAACAGCCCACCGAGTGTCGAGTATCTGATGCAAATTCACTGCACCCGGAGAGCTGTCGAAAATCCATGCGTTCCGCGATTTTTGCCTCAATCAAGTGTTGCGCAGGTCGCTTATATGCATTCGCAATCTATGGAGAGCTCAGCACACGGGTGGTTGATGATGACGTTTCCTGAGCAGGTCCGGATATGATTTTCCAGTATGCATATATCAGTCATCATTCTCAAATTTGGTTGATACACTCAACGGAGCAGCTGGCAGCGAACGTGGTTTTACTCTAGTTTCTTCCACGTATGTTTGTGGTGAATTAGTGGTGGCGATTGAGCGGTCAGTGGATTGCACAATCGCTTGGAGTAGCCATTATCTTTATTGATTGATGATAATCGTAATTCTACTGATCCAACGCAATAAGAAAAGCTACCCTCTGGAATGACATGAAGCCTGACCATCCCTAACACAAAATAAAATCCAAATTTACATTTACTGCTAGCAAAAAGCTGTTCGTGGTTCTCTTTGGGATTGATATAAAGCAAAATCCAAATTACCTACGTATCTTATTGGCAAATTGGACACTAGTGTCGATGTGGCCATTAATCAGTTCTGTGATTAATGAATCGGTTGATGATGCACGAATAAGTATCACCAAGCCAAGACTAATCGTTCTGAAGTCTTGTTTTAAATTGCCGGGAAACACTACGGGGGAGTAATAGAATAGAATGGGGAAAACGCGTTGGTGAAAGAAAGCGGACAGAACTGAATGTGCGGTTCGGAATTACCCGGGTTTGTGTAATTGAAAAGCGAGGCCTCGCAGTTTTCTCATACAATTGTAAATGTGTGTGGACCATTGAAGATTACTTTCGATGGTGGTACTTGACTCAGGATGATCTGGACATAGGTTTACACTTAAGCGTAGCAGGATCAGTTGGAAATAAGGAGCGGGAAGGACGGTAGATACACTTTACGCATTTAGATATGGTAAGACTGAGACCAGATTGATCAGAAAACTGTTAGATGTGGTATTAATTTTCAATGAAAGAATCTTATTCCGAAAGAGATGAAGTTATTGGACACAGTGGTGTGGTCGCGTTGGCTCAAACAAATTGATTCAAAGGGGTCACACGGTACCCTGTTCGCCAAAAGTTCTGTTCAAATGCGGTGGAAATGTTTGTGATAACCGAGAAAGAGCACTGGACAACTGATTCGTCCTGTTTGGGACTCGTCAGCAGTGCGCACTTTTATGTGTCCCTGTCGGGACTCGAACCGCGAACATTCGGGTGGGAACTTCAAACCCTTACCCCTGAGCTACACGGTCGACGGTCATCACCTTGTGCGAATGGTTTACACAAACAGTACCTGGTACCTGTGAACAATTGAACAGGTTAATCCAAACATTCACCATCTAAGTTGTCTGTCTAACTTCAGGATGTGTCAGTCTGTATCAATTCATGATACAACCTTTCTACAGGACAAAACAATCTCAGCAGACCGGTGAGAGTGTGTTCTACAACCGGCCCATGCAACAGGGAGTACTGTCATGGGGCATTTGTAGTACTGTCGAATGATATGACTTATTTTTTCTGCATCCATCTACTCTGTTTTGCGAGTAAGACGATAATTCAATTACCCGATAACTCCTTCACGTCGAGAATGTGGGCGTAGTAGAGGACGGGGAAAATCCTCTCTATCCGGTTATTTTCGCTCCGATCGCGTCCCTACTGACCCCGATCGAGTTGTTATTGGGAGATTTTGGTGACCATTAGCGCTCCCTCTTCCACTGGCCTAGTTTTCAACCTAGCTTCTGTTGAGTGCGACATCATTCTTGACGAGTGAATGTTTTTCTTGGATAGAAAATTTATTGAGACCAAATAATGGTTGTAGAGTCCATAAACTTAAGATTCTACATTATATATGTATATGAGGCTACTCGACCCAACGTGGTCAAACTAGATATCGTCGAGGTTAATCCATGCGTACGAGCACCCTTCACCGATAAGCAGTGGACAGTGAGAGTGCATCCAGAAAGTTGACAATCAATGATTTGCGGCTGGCACTAAGCAGAAACAATATTCAAACTTTTGTTTGTCCGATTGAACTTTTATGCTGGGGTTGTGAAAAGTTCAGCAGCCTTGGTGGGATTCGAACCCATGCATGGACGCCGCCTACGCTCTTGTGCAACATATGACTTCAATCTGCCAAACCAAAATTTGAATAATTAATCTAGTCTTAGAAGTGTATACAGTGGAATCCGGTAAATTCCAACTGACATGCTACTTGGTGGATACCATGTGCCTCTATGTGTCGGATGGGCGATTTGAATGTGAAAAAATCAATGCTATCCATGTGGCCTCGTAGCTGACCTGGTAGAGTATGCGCTGTACAAAAGCGTAGGCGGCGTCCATGCATGGGCTCAAATCTAACCGAGGCTATCGAACCTTTCACAATGTCAACAGGAACATTATTACAAAATATAATGGGACCTACGATCAACTATGTAGTGATACGCCAGTAATGGAGTAAAAGGGGCTGAGAGTAACGTAATGAATAACGAAGGGTGAACCCAAGGCTTACAGAGTGCAGAGAACGGCGGTGAGTGATGCAGACTTTAATCTTCGGAGTTCTTGCGTAGAGTCACTCGGGATGACTAGGGAAGGTATGTTGGTGTAAGAAGGCAAGTGCGCTGTGTATGTGTGTGTGTGTGTGTGTGTGTATGGACCTGAATTAACGCAATAATAGATACTGCGGTCGTGTTCGCTACAGTTCAGTCCGAAGAAAGCGTTTACCGATCTCATAGATGAAATGACATAAACTCAGGAATGTGAGGGCGATAGGAAAGGGTGCGGCGAATTAAACGTGAGAAAATACAAACGATTAGGATAGACCGAGTGGGTAAGTGTAAAGTCGGTAAAGTCGGAGACAATCAAACGAGCCAACAGTTGCATCAATAAAACTGTCATTTGATGGCCGGAGGGAATCATTCCTAGTGTTGTTGGTTCGTTACTGACTTTTTTGGACTCACCACCATGGTTACTCATACTAATTCCACTAATTAACAATTATGCGTTATAATTTTTCGGCTCTTTCCTCTTTTCTCTGGTTCACACGTGACCTCCGCGGTATGACCCAAAACATACACACTTCAACTGTATGTGATCAGCACTCGCAGAAGAATCACAATTTGCATGAACGGGCATTTGAACGCGTGGCGGACTGTTGGGTTTGCGGCCGTTTGCTCTGGGGTTTGGCGCCACAAGGACTTGCGTGTAATAGTAAGTGATGTTCCCTGTGAAATCTCTCTTTCTGTTCGCTCACGCAAAGCATTCTAACGCGGGTCAGGGGAGAGAAAAACAAATGTGAATTTCGTGTTGACATCAACAGGCATTGAACGCGTTAGTTTACCCCCCCCCCCCNCCCCCCCCGCGTCCACTCAAAAATGACTGAAACGGGCCGTTGTTTCTTGGTGGAACTATAAAGTTTGGGTCTAAATTATATTTTTTTTAGTTCCGTTTTTAACCCTTTATTTTTCCAGCTAATAACCTTGCATTTCTGTGCGCTGCTTTTTGTTCCATTATTCTGTTCTCCACGGCTTGACGCTGACGGGAGAGTAGGAGCTGTGAGTTAATCAATAAAAGTAGTATCAACGTTACGTGGGTAGATTAGATTTACCTTGATAGGAAATCGATTTCATCGATCATAAGCTGTCCTTGAGGACACCTGCATAGCAAGATTTCTCGCGGTCCCTGATCACATGATCACGCATTAAGAAAGCTTCTGTTTGTCTATCCTCCAAACAAGGGCACGGATTTCCAATTTGAGTACCAAGAATAACACAAATTGCCCGATCTCCTGTCCTCCCTCCTTGAATGTTCGAATCTGTGTGAAGTGACTAACAAACGCAGCAACAACAATAAAAGAACACGGAGTAGGACTGAAAACAAGTGCTACCCTAGTGTCTTACTTTGCGCTCTTATCTCATCTCATGAAATCAAGCGGCCGTCAATAGACTGCGTTTTGGGTTCTCACACACACTCATGCGCAGGGGGTTGGAGGGGCATTGGTATCAGTGGAACAATTTGTTCGTTGTTTCTTCGCCATCAGTCACAGGGTAATAATTTGAAACGAGAAAAAAAATCGATAAAAAGAATTTTCCGTTTCATTCAATCTAGGTTGTGGTTTTAGAGGTTTCATGCTATGAGTTGCTGGAATGATGGGACGTAGTAACGTATGCCATTATACGCTATATATATATGATATTAAGTAGTATGTGAATGACTGAACAAAATTTCCCTGGAGGCACACGGCTGGTTTCGTGGTTCTTGCCGCTCNGGTTCTTGCCGCTCATCAGGCATCCATATCCGGTAATGTTTTGTCCGTTCATTCGTATACTGGTACTGGTACTGGTACTGTATTTTCGTCACAATAACCTTGTTTGGAACACCGGGTGACTTTTGGATAGACAGCTCTTTCAGAGTCAGTCCATTGAAGAATCAAGGCTTTGATTTGATGTTTTGTATATAAACCACCTTTTGCAAACGACACATTGCTATCAGTTCTTACCCTTAAACTGGTAATAAATTTGTCTATTCAAGTTCATTGATCGTCTACACTTGCGAACGTATCGTGCCATTTTTTTCAAGTATCCAATCTGAAGGTTTTTATTGTTCGATGCATACTGAATGAGTGGGATCGAAAAATGATCTGGCCTGGTTTTTGGACATACCGGTTTCGGTTCGGATTCTACATATCTTGGAAAAAAACGAACACAATAACAATCGACCAAATGAGCGAATGGATTAAGGCGATCATTAGAACTGCAAACGTTTGTCACAATTTACCTCTTGTTTGTAACTGTCAAAATGTTTGGGTTTTCCGGATCGCCTAATACAGCAGCGAATAGCTCTTCTCTCCTGTTTGCATTCCTTGTGCGCGTGCATTGGTCAAACTGGGGTTCTGTGTTTTTTTCTCGCCGATCACCCGAATCCGGTTGCGTAAAATTGAGGTATTCTTTGCAAAAGAGGCTATCTGATTCTTGATATGTCTGAATCAAAGCAATGTTTCTATGCTTACAGTATAATTCTTGATTCATTTTCTCTATAAAATTACCATAAGCGTAACAATTCCAATCGCTTTTCGTCTCCTTGAAGCTAATTTTGCCTAACGTTATCCACAGCGCAGTGTTGGCTTTTCTTTTCATGAAAAGAGTTGGAGCTCTGTATATTTTTGGATATTGTGAATCAGTCAGTGGTTATAGAGACGATTGCTGGTGAGTTAAATTTTGTCGAAAACTCCCCTGAAATGTTATCAGTAAAACCGCCTATCGGTATTGACTATAGGCGATAGACTGTTTCTTTCGGTCGTGGGAACACTGAATCCGGCCTGTTTGACGGACCAACAGATAGACAGATAGACAGACAGACAGACAGACAGGCACACACGCACACAAGCACGTTTACTACTCCACCGTGTTCATGCGTTTCTGAACTTAAGCAGTGTATACTTGCACTCCCGATCTCTCGGTGCTCGCTTCTACCGTACCATGTTCGCTCTTTGCCGTCATCTCAGAAACCGTAACTTAAACTAGTACTCGTTCGAGCAAAATTACTTCTTCTGATGAAGAGAAGCAAGCACAGTTAAGCCATGATCTTCACTGCTCCACCCACTCCCGCCGTCTCCGTCTTCGTCTTTTCTTCATCCATCTTACACCCTCCTCCCCCCATTGACTATGTTCCGTTACAGATTGCAATTTATCTGTGCACGTCAAATGCAAATCCAATATCCGAGAAACATGCACCAAAGAAGGTCGTCGATCGGCCGTGCTGTCACACAATGGTGCCTCGGTCCTCACTCCAACCATTACCTCGACTTTGACCGAGACTACTGCTCCGTTGGCTAATAGTGCCGCAGTTACCCGTGTTCAGTCTACTGTGGTTCAGCCGTCATCCACAGAGATGTTGGCTCACGCTTCGAATGGTGAGTTGACTTATGGGTGCTCGTGAACCAGGTAGACCGCCTCAATCAATCTGACGCCACATTGTCGCGTGAAATCACTGTTCCGTTTTTTGCGGATCGTTCGATTTCGATCCAGTCGGGACGATTATGTCATTCATATTCTTCTGTCCCATCATCACTTGTCGTTCAGAAACTCGGCTCCCTCCAGCATGTGATTATTAGTCATAGGCAGCATTCCATCCCTACCACTGTAATAATGGTAATAATAATAATTTGAAGCGTTTGTGAACACGAAGAGAAATGCTCGTGCATCCCAAGATCGATAAATAAAAATCCTTGGGTTCAGTACCGCGTTAAGACAGGAAGCTGTTTTCCAATGAAAATTCTGTAGTCAAATGTTGTAAGTTGAAAGATAATTCAGTCTCGTATTTATAACCCAGAGCACAAATATGTCATGTTGTCATTCTCAATCGATTAGTGAATTCTATCGTAGGACTCGACTGATGACCGGAAAGTTGCATGAAGCAGATATGAACACGAAACGGGCAAAGAATTACACCTACAGGATTTGAGGGCTAATTTTCCGAGCCCAGGTGTTTGTGATCTGGGATCCGCTTACTTGTACAGCTTATAATTTCCTGAAGTTTTGTCTCCAACGCGATTAGCTTGGCAACAAACCAGAGAGATATTTATTAGAGTAGACAACTATTTCATTTACTCAATAGTATGTGAGGTATCCGAGAGTGTAACTATGCGGAATCCCGAGTCAGGACGCACATTGTTCAATTCCTAGTTGTGATTAGACGGTTTTGCTTAATCGTTCATCGAGGCATAGTTACCACCGAACTCGATTACAGTCCTACGATGTTTCTTCGTTCATCACTTCCTTTTCTGTGGAGCTACCGACTATTACCAGATATCTTGGCACTGTTTTTTTGTTACGTTTATGAATGTAACTTATCGATCGTTTCCCCAGAAAAAAATTATCTGGACATTAATTCCGAAAGGGACTGCCATATGACCTGACTATCGTGCACGATGTGTTCCACTCTGTGTTCAACTTTTTGTACAGGAAAAACTCCTTGTTTATCATTAAAAATCGCCTATCCTATGAATTGATCAGTCAGCGTTTTTTTCATTCATTTTGTGCAATCTATCAAAATTTTTGAGCGAGGGAAGACTGTTTCCATAATCCCACTCCATTTGTACAGGCGAACGAAGCATAACTGACAATTTAAACATGCATCAGTGTTCACTTTCGGAATTCGCCTACTTTCAAGGTCTAAGAAGCCTCCTTGTTATTGATTTGCCATAGTGCATCAATCTGCCTTGTGGGTGAAGGACATCTCATGTTCTTTACAGAAACACATACGCGGTCACACCGATGCACCCCGGAAGTGACTGGAGAGGAGTGTCGTCATGTGATAGCATTGACCTCGACTGATCTCATCGAATGCATGCAGATAATATTCCTTTGGACAACACGCCGCCCCCCCCTCCCGCCCCATGGCATCGACACATGTCCAAACACAAGACACTGAAGGATTCGCGAACATCGGACGAGTAATATGAATTGGGTAGTTAGATTGATTTCACCTTATGGTTCTAAGTGAGGATTGTAAAACCAATTGAACGACCAGCCTACTATTATTTTATTCAGTAGTAAAACGTTAGATGTTGCACTTAATTATAGTCAGTACCTTAACCGATGCTATTACGGGGTTTTCGGGGGGCTACACCCTGTTCTGAAAGATTAGGCCTTACCCACCATATCCCAGAAGGCAGCTATCGACTAACTGGCAGGTTTGCCCTACCAGAATCTGTCCCACGGACCTGTTGACAAATCATGAATAAGAGTCCAGCGTGTATAGTGAAGGAACTACTTGTTTAAGGTCACGGTTGAGAGGGACAAGACAGTGTGAAACGACGGAGCAATCGCGCTGTACATAACAGCGTCTAGTTGAAATGAAATCGCGTACAATAGATTAGCGGATCCGTTATCTACAACGGGCTCAGATGCGTTGGTTCAACATTAGACCACCATGAAGTTAGGCGTGACTTTTTCCATCTATCTTACTGCATTGCAACGTTTCCGTTTCAACTGTATACAACCAATAGACGTGCACCTTCGTGAGGATGTTTTGCTGGCTGCCTTACGGCTGAACTTTGTCTGAACAATGAAGAAAAGATAAGACGTTCGAAGCACAAAGTTGATAGGATTACTAAAGTCAACATATCGAATGCAGAAACTCAGCAATTTAGTGTATGAACACCACTGCTTACCAAACTCAGCCATATCACTCAGTGTCGCTAATCGTCAAGCAAGTCGATACCAAGGTCCTCAACTGGGAAGCCCTCGGTCAGGCTTTGGCTTAATCATCCTTGACCTTCCTCTGACCACTACCTATCTTGGCAAATATGTGATAGAAATAGACTTCGATATAAGAGAGTGGATTAGTGGGACAAGATGACACAATCTCCATGCTCAAATTCAACAGTTTATTGAACGCCTATTCGTGGAGAACGGTGACCACAATTTACCTGAAGAGGTTCCGTTCCTTACTTATCATGATTTTCCGTTATCGTGTATATGTGACGAAAAATAATTCGTCGATCGCGATGCATCCAACGAGGTTCGAGTTAATCTAGTACCGCGTGATCCCGCGTGATCAATCGAGTCAACTAGTACGTGTTGCAGTCATCTGGCTCCGGCCCCCTTCTGCCTGCCGGTTTCGATCAACCAAAAATCGATAAATTCCTACAAGAACTGTGCGTCTGACTAGCTGATGGATTAAAACCTCAAGAAGAATAAGTTCAATTGGGGGATTTTAGACCACTCGAAAACCTGTATACTAGTTTTACTAATGCTCCTCTGACGCAAAAATGCTATGAATCTTCCTTTGGACTTGAGATTAAGTTTGTCTTGCCCTATCCTGATCAATAGTGCACAATTTCCACAACCGGAAATAAACAGAAGTCAGTCTTCAAGTTCCTACCCGGATCGTTGTTGAAACCATTTCGACACAGATCACTCAGTTAGATACCTAGCTAGCACAGTGCATGATGAGAGCGAGAATCGGGGCTAGATAGAACATGATGTTTAGTTGACACTACCGTTTTAGGATTATCCACGCAATAGTGGATTTCCTTCGACAATGTTGACGTGGTCATTTCAGTAATTCTAATCGTTAGTCATCTCGTTAATTGTACATAGCAGTGTAACATTCTGTTCAGTTATATCCTCTGGCTGCATTAAACATAGGATGTTCTTTATTGGTTCGTATTCTCATCATCATGGTAGTACTTACTGTTCAACTGTCCACTGTTATCCC